CCGGCCCCCCCGGCCCCCCGGCCTCCCCCTCACCCCGAACGGGGCAGCCCCCGCCCTCCTGGCTCTCGATCCCGACTGATCTAAGATAGACTGGAGTGTCGCCGCTACCACCGTGAGTAAGTGAGGCTGGGAGGACTTTAGCTATCCTCCCACCGACACCCCATCCTTCACTTAACCTCATCCAGCACCTTCCCCACCTGCACCCCAAAATTCAGCCAAACTTCCCCTAGGTCTCTAACTTCCATCCTACCAGCCTTTCTCCTTTACCACCTAATAGGTTTCTTTCTATTCCCCACCATATCCCAAAAAATCCCTAAAGTAAGCAATTGCACTGGCTTAGAAAACAACTGGAACTTTATGGCAACGTACTGGTATTGTTCCTGGGGTTAGTGCCTGAGTTATACCCCTTGAAAACGTCCCATCCCCTGAACAGTGGGGTCACAACCCCTGTGGGGCTAAACTCCTGACGGGTGCCAGAGGAGGGTCTGTGTTTGGCTGAGGGGCTGGAGCTTAGACCCCAGGGTCTCCAGGACGGACCCCAAGGCCAAAGGGTTTCAAATCAGGATTCTGAATCTGGTGTCCACCTCCTCACACCCTTCCTTGGAGCAGCTGCCTCCGGAATGGCTCAAAGTCCTCCGGTACTGTGTCTAAAGAAGGGGAAATAAGTAAAGTCAGAGGATGTAGCTCTCTCACTGGGGCATGAGGGGTAAGGTTGATTTTGGTCTAAAGCCTCACCATTGCATCGATACTGGAGATTGGACCAAATGATGTTCTCTTGGGAGAAGCAGAATACACCAAGACGCCCCCCTCGCATGGAAGTGTCAATGATCACCCCAGAATCTGCCACTAGCTGGGGACCTTCATAGAGCTTCACCCTGTCCAGGATAGGGGTGTCCATTGGTGAGGGTGCCAGTGGGCACTGTGTCACCATGCCCAGGACCCTGCTTATCCCCAGCCCCCTTAGAAGTCACCAGGCCTGAGAGAGAAGGGAGGGAGGGAAAGGGAAAAAGGAAAGGGGAGGGAAGGGGGTGCTTTTCTCAGGCCTGGGGCCCCTAGCTCTTTGTCCGGCCCCTTTTGCATCTCAAAGCACCAGCCACATTCCAAGCGAGGATTGAGTTGCCATGACAATGAGCACAATAGGCTGGGGGGTGAAGTCACCCTATTCCCAGGCTCTTGTCCACCCCCCTTTATCCCTTGTCCTGGCACCCCACGGCCCAGGCACCTTAAAGGGGAACCAACCCAGATCCCTGGGCTCTGGTCTCTTGGCCATGGAAAGTCCAGCCTCTAAGAAGACCCATTTCTCCTCCCTTTACAGTTATCCCTAAGAACGAGGGGCACTTGTTGGAGGGAAACACAAAGTTGTGGATAAAGTGCTGAACTGTGAGGCCTGTGAAGTCTGGGCCCCAGTTTGTTCTTCTGTAAATGATCCCTTCCAGGTCAGACACTTCGATAGGCAGGTTCTAGGCTGTACCAATTAAGAGGCCAATGTGTGAGAGGCCAGCCTGTGGCTCACTTGGAAGAGTGTGGTGCTGATAACACCGAGGCCACGGGTTCGGATCCCTATATAGGGATGGCCTGTTGGCTCACTTGGGAGAGCCTGGTGCTGACGGTACCAGGTCAAGGGTTGGGACCCCCTTACTGGTCATCTTTTTTTTTAGAAAAAAAAAAAGGCTGATGTGATGTACCCTTCCCCAGATTCGCCTGGTATATAGAGGTTCCCAGAGAACTGTTAAGGGCAGTGCCCTCGATTTACAGGGGGGGAAATGGGGCACAAAGGATGAATGACTTGACCAACATTGACTATAGGTCCTCCTGTCTGTGGTGAGAAGGAAGATGTAGAGACGTGGCCACAGTCCCTGCCCGTGGCACCAAGCAATTGAGTAGAGGGAAGGTCACTGGCAAGTTCCAGCTAAAGGGGAAGAAAAGGCCAGCCTGGGATCTCCTAGGAGGGCTTAGCCCCTCTCCTCACCGAATGTAGCCAACTTGAGGTCGATGCAGCAGCTGCCAACGATAGGAGGTCTTGTCACGCCAGCCCACGTTTCGTGGGTCAGTCCACAGCAATCGTACCTGATCAGGGGTGTGGCCAGTATGCCACAAGGCATTCCGGAGTTGTTCGCCTGGGCCAGACACTGATGTCACTGCCTGGGGAGCATTGGCAAAGACAGTGGGTCAACCACAGGACCGGACTGAGGGGAGTCAACAGATCGGTAAGTGCAGGTGGGAAAGGGAGTCAAGGAGGTCAGGAGAATGCTCTGGAGCCCCAGAGACTTGACCTCCAAGCCAGATGTCTGGGTAAGAGGGTTCACAGTCAGGCAGTGGGGGCCCTGGGGCTGTGTGGGGAGAGCCTTGGGAAAGGGCCCTGGGTTGGAGAATCTGGGCAGTTGGGGGACCTTGAGCTGTAGCCCAGGCTGGGCAACAGCCCGGAAAGGTGTGGCCTGCCAGTAGGTCTGTTCCGTCTGCTTCCACATGACCACGTAGAAGCGGCCGCTGTCCTGATAACTGAAGAGAAAGCCTGCATAGTCATCATCAGTCACTGTGTTCACGTGGAAGGTGCCTTCAAAGTCCACACCATTGAAGGCTGTGTATCCTGTGGCGGGGGCGGGGGGGTAAAAGTCAGGGGTAGCAAAGCTACTAGTGACCCACGGTGGGGTGGGGGTGGAAAGGGATGCCAGCCATATGTGTGGCCAGCTTTCCCCACTGCCTTCATTCTTGCCTCTTTGCCCATCCTCCCTGTCTGTTTCCTCCCCAACCTTCTGCCCCTGTAGGATTCCTCTGTTCGGAAATGATTGAACTGGGTGTTCCTTACATACCAACTGCTAGGCCGGGGTCACTGTTCATGGTCTGAACAATTTCCATGCCCTGGTGTTGTATGGTAAAGAAAAAATCCCTGATATAGGCACACTACCCCACCTAGGCCCCACCTGGTAGTCTGGTCTGATAGCACCCTCCCAGCCCACTGCCCTGAGTACCTGGTTGAGCACAACCCAGTTTGGGTCAATCTGAGCATCACCCTCAGGATCCAGGACGACAGTCTGATAGGCCCGAAAATCCGTGAGGGTTACCTCTGCACTTTCGGGACACACATCCAGGGGGTCGACCACTGCATCATTGTCAAAGTCGTCCTCACACACATCACCAACACCATTGCCTGGGCAGAGTGAGGCTAGGTGCTCAGGAAAGCCGTGGCCACTGCCACTAGCCAACACTACCACCTCTTGGGCCTTACATTCCTGACCTCTTCTCCTACCCTGCCCTTCCTTGTTCTCCAGCAGGGCCTGCTGCCTCCCCCTGAGCAAAGCCCACACCAATCCAACCCTCTCTGGGGCCCCCAGCCTTACCATCTGAGTCTTTCTGATTGGGATTGGGTACCAAGCGACAGTTATCAGGACCAGGAGGCACATAATCTGGGACACCATCATTGTCATCATCCCCATCACACTCATCTCCAAGTCCATCATTGTCTGAGTCCAGCTGGGAGCTATTCGGCAGCTGTGGGCAGTTGTCCTTGGTGTCCTGATGCCCATCCCCATCGCTGTTCAGAACAGGCACTAAATAAAGGCTCTAATGGCACCCCCCATCATTCCCCTCTCTTCTGCTTAGGATTCTCTCTGGAGTCTACTCTTCAGCCAACCAGACCCCTTATAGTAAGCCAGATGAGGTCCAATAGTAGGAATGGAGAGTAGACTATGAGAATGACTTCCTACCCGATAATGGTGAAGAATTAAAGCTAAGACATATGGAGAATTAAGAATATACTGGAGGTAAGTAAAATATCCCCTAAGACCTGGCATCTTTTGGCCAAGACCCTACCTGTCTTCGTTGGTGTCACAGATATCCCCTACCAGGTCGCTGTCTGCATCTGTCTGAGAGAGAGGGTCCTGTTCTCACCATCTCCTCTTGATGACTCTGAAGATGGTGACCTAACCACTTCCCATCCAAAGGGCGGGGCCTCATCCACCAGTTCCCCTACACCTCCCCTTCCTTTGCTGTTCCCCTGTACCTGGGTAGGATTGCTCATTTCAGGGCAGCTGTCACAAGCATCTCCCACTCCATCCTCATCCCTGTCTGTCTGTAGTGGGTTGGGGACTTTAGGGCAATTGTCCAATCCATTGGGGATGCCTAGAAGAATGGGGGGTAGCACAAGGCTGTCACCAGAATGTCATGCTCTTTCTTCTAGGGTGGTGGAAGCCTTGAGCTTTTGTCTCCTGACCCAAAGGACAACTGGTCAGGAAATCTGCCTGTACCTTGTCTCACCCTCTAGCCCACATCCTACTTAACCCTACACCCTACCTCACATTCCCACTGACATTCACTGCAGGTAATCTTCCCTCACCCAGACCAACTTCCCCAAGCATACTCCCCAGTCTCAAGCTTCCTAGCCTCCCTGCTTCATCCCCACCTATGTCCAAATTCTTACACATCTCCCAGCCACCCCCTTAGCCCCAGGCCTGCACCATCCCCATCCACGTCGTTGTCACAGGCATCTCCTTCTCCATTGCCATCTGTGTCCTTCTGGTCATTGTTGGGAACGTTAGGGCAATTGTCACAGGCATCACCAAATGAATCTGTATCTGAGTTCTGCTGGTCTTTATTGGGGAATAGCCGGCAGTTGTCCTGGGCAGAGGGGTGGGAGGGGAAGGGTCAGATCTTCCCCCAAACCACTGGCCATCTTGCACCCACCTTGTTCCTGTATCCTTGTCTAAGATCACCATCCTGTGGCCATCTACCTGCTCCATGCAGTCCCACCTACCCAACTCCATGTAGTCCACCTTGTCCTGGGCACCAGGTTTATCCCTCCCTAATTTGGACTACTGGGGCCCTTCCTAGAGAATTGCCAGGGGCCAAGGAGAGGTAGGATTGTGGGATGAGGCAAGAGACACAGAACAGGAGGAGGAGAGCAGAGAAGCTGGGAGTGGGAGGACAGTCTAGGAATCACCTCAACATTCTTGATCCCATCCCCATCAGCATCATCATCACACTGGTCCCCCACACCATCATTATCAGCATCTTCCTGCCCAGAGTTGGGTGTCAAAAGGCAGTTGTCCTAAAGTTCAGAGGGAGGAAGAAGATGGATGAGTTCTGGCCTGACCCAGCCTGGGGTCCCCCCCATGCTCAATCGCCCACCTGCCCCCTGCACCTGCTTGCAGTGTTTATTGTTATCCATGCAGGGTAGTGCCTGGTCTGGGTAGCCGTCGATGTCTGTGTCAGGCCCACATACGTTCCCGTTTCCTGCCCAGCCCACGTTACACTAGGGCAACACAAAGGGTAAGAGTTAGCAGTTTGGGCTGTCTCCCCACACCCCTTATAGATTCCCTGTTCAAGGCTCTATTCTCCCCCGCAACCAGTTCCTGGGCCCAAGCCCCTTCCTTTCCCACGAAGGCCCACAGTCCAGTCCTGTGCCTTTTCCCCGATTCTCCCTTTTCCTTCCAAGCCCCAGTTCTAGCTCACCTGGCAGGATACTGCACCGTTGCGTTCAAAGAGACAGTGAGCATGGATGTGGCAGGGGCTGTGGGCTGGGCTGTGGCAGGTCTGGGCTGGGAAGCAGCCCTGGCTCTGGTTGCCCAGGAAACCCAGGCGGCATGGACCACACTTGAAAGAGCCCTAAGAGTGGGGCAGTAGTGTCTTAGGAAGTAGGTGAGCTTGCCAAGCACCCGGGACTGGCACCACCCCACTGCTGGGTGTAGGATGGGCATGCATAACTATGCCAGGTATGTCAGTATCCCTAAGGTTCTCATGACAACCTTTCAAGGTAGTTAATAGCCCCATTTTTCAAATGAGGAAGCCGAGGCTCAGAAAAGGTCACAGCTGGGCTGGCCCGTGGCTCACTTGGGAGAGTGTGGTGCTGATAACACCAAGGCCCCGGGTTCGGATCCCATATAGGGATGGCTGGTTCGCTCACGGGCTGAGCGTGGTGCTGACAACACCAAGTCAAGGGTTAAGATCCCCTTACCGGTCATCTTTTTAAAAAAAAAAAAAAAAAGAAAAGGTCACAGCTAGTAAGAGGCAGGAACTAGAATTCCAAACCAGGTCCATGGGAACATCTACTCTGTGTGGTGCCTTAAGGAAGGAGGAAGAGCAGCAGGAAATTTGAAGAGGCGGCATTTACACATTCCTACCACCCCAGACACACTCACGGTACTCTACTCACCACAGTGTTGGTGCAGATGGAGTTTGGGTCACAGCCACCATTGTTACCATCATTGCATTCATCAATGTCGTTGCAGACCTGAAGGGGCAGACTTTGGGTGGAACCAGACCTATGGTGGATCTCCTCAGATACAGGAGAGGGCACTGGTGTGGTCTTATCTGTGAACATTGATATTAAGCCCAGACCGAAAGCCAATGCAAAGCCAGCCTCATCCCACTTATCACAAGGGTTCCATGTCCAACCCAAAAGCCCCTGGCCTCTGCAAGGCCAAAATCTCTTGTTCATACACACTACCCAGTCTGACCTGTTTGCTGGCCCGGGCATAGTCGATGCCCACACCAGACACCTGTGTGCCCTTGTACCCTCGAGGACAGGCCTCACAGTGGAAGCCGGGCATGGTGTTGATGCAGCTGGAGCCCGGGAAACAGGGGTCAGCATGAGCACACTGGAGGCCAGATGAGAAGGCAGAGGTCAGGCCTCCCCAGGGGAACTCATCACTCCTGGTCTCCACTTTTTGCAGCTCTCCCCACCCCACCTCATTGTGCTCCATCTCATCCCCACCCCCAGCCTCCCTCTGGGCTCCCCTGCTCTCTCCTATGCTCCTGCCTAGCCAACTCAAACTTCCCCTGCCACTCCCCCAGCTCCTTCTCTTGTGCAGCCCTTCAGTCTTTGCCCCAGACCTTCTGTCTCCCTCCCATCTCACACTTTTTTGATGTCTGACCTCTCCTAAACCCCAGATTCCTCTGCTTCTGACCAACATTCATCCTACCCTCCTGTGCCCCTCCTGATACCCTCACCCCAGCTTGCTGCACCCTTCTGGGCTCTGCCCATTCCCACCTCATTGATGTCACTGCAGTGGGTGCCATTGCCCTGCAGGCCTGGGGGGCAGGGCCCACAGCGGTAGCCGGGGTACTCGTACACTTCCATGCAGTCCACTCCTCGGAAGCAGGGGTTGGGGCTGCAGTGGGAACGCTGCTCGTGGAAACCTGGGGGGCGGGCACAGTCAGAGCCACCCAGAGGTCACCATTCAAATCACTGGAAGGGGAAGCTGAAGCCATGGGGTGGAGAGCACAGTGATGCCATCTGGAACCCTCCCCTGCTCTCCCACTCACCGCACACCTGACACTCCATGATGGTGTTTCGGATCAGGGACATTTCCTTCACCTGGTAGACAAAAGGATGGGGATGAGTCAGCTCTTGGCATCTCCCACCCCTCCTCGGAATCAGTACCACCCTTCACTGGCCCACCCAAACCTGGTCTCGGATATCATCCCGCAGCTCCACCAGGATCTGGTTGAAGAGGGTGAGTTGCGTGACAAGCGCCTTGGTCTGCTCCCCTGTCAGGGCCCAGGGTGTGGAGAGGCTCAGAACTGGGGTGCCAGCCCTGGCCCCTCCTTGGGCAATAAGCCAGCTCCTGCCACTGTTGCCCAACCCCTACCTTTAAAACCCACCCCATTCCTGACAGAAGAGTTTGTTTCAGGCAGCTGCCAAAGCCAGGGGCTCTCACCATCCATGCTCTACCCCTTCATTGTGGCCTACTCACCTAGGATGGAGTGCAGTGCATTGGTCACTGGAGAGGAGAAGAAAACACAGTCAGGGGAGTGGGATAGAGATGTGAAGAGGGGCCTGGCTGGTGAGGAGGAAGGAAGAGAGGGACAAGGACAGAGGGTTGGAGCCTCAGAATAAAGATGGGGTGTTGGATGGTGGGAGGACAGGTGACAGGCAAGCAGCACCAGCTCTTTCCACTGGGCAATGGACCTAAGGGAGTTGCCTCACAGGAAGTCAAAATTCAAACACTCCCTATTCCCAGAAATGATAGTGGCACAAGGGATCCAAGTGAGAGGTGACCCAAAGCAGGGCCAGGACCCCAATACTTTCCATTGCCTCCCTCCTTCCCTAGCTTACATTTCGAGAGTTCTTTCTTTGAAATATCTGGGGAAAATGGATGTCTTATTTAGGTAAAAGCCTCTGAACATCCTTGTCAGAAAGACCAGGCAGAAAGATGGGCAATGTTCAGAGAAACTGCTGGTAGGTGAGAACTGCCAATGGGAGCTTAAAAAGACGTCAGACCAGTATCTCAGTCAGCCAAGACCAAGCAATTAGCTGCTGCTTCCTCCCCTGCCTCACCCGAAGTTCCTCATAGTTACACTCTTCTCTTCAATCATTTTATTATTTTGGCCACCCTGGTAGGTGAGATGACCTGAACAGGGAATTTATTTTTTTCTTTTTTTTTGTCTTTTGTCGTGACCGGCAATGGATCGCAACCCTCAGTGTCGCGCCCGTACCGGACCGGGACCGGCAACGGGATCGCAACCCTCGGTGTTGCCCCCGCACCTCGCTCAGCCAGTGAGCGGCCGGTCTGCATGTGGGATCCGAACCCTCGGCGGGAGGGTTGCTGTGCTTCCCAAGCGGCACACTGTAGCAGTGCGCCACCGGGCCGGCCCCGGAATTTTTTTTTTTTTTTAACCTATACCTCCTGGGATGATAATAGAGTCAGAGATGAAAGGTTTGGGGTAATAGGGTCAGAAACCTCAGGAATAGGTGAGCCAAAGAAATGGGTGTTAAGAGGGATGGAGGTAGAGTGGATAGGGAGTCACCAAAGATCATAGGACCTGTAGTCCAGTGTCAGCTAGCAGAAGTCCCCGTGTTACCTGTACTGTGGATGGACTCGTCCCCTTGGAATGGACACTCACTCAGGGCTCCTACCCGGGCCATGGACCCGCCAAGAATAATTTTCATAGATTCCACAAAGCCCTGGGGGGATAGCAGCAGAGTAAGGTGGGAGGATCTATCAACTCCTCCCCCAATGGTGTAAACTCTGTTTCTACAGAAACTCAGAGGGTCCTCTCTGCTCACCTGCATCCTCAAATAAGCCTTCTGTCCAGTCCTAATCTCCAGCCCATCAACCTCTGCTGGAGGAATGGGGGCCAGTGCTGGAAGTCCAGCATGTTGGTCACCCAATTTGCAGTCCACATAGAGCTGCAGGGCAGGGCTGGGTCGGGACGGACCTCGAAGTCGCAGGAGAGCTGTGTGTGTGCGCCCATCAGCCAGGCCTGCTTGCTGTAGGTTCACTGCGTGGACTTTGCCATCCTCCCGCTGATACCGCACCAGTACTGCCCAGGAGGGGAGGTCAGTATTGGCACTGTCCCCCATTCCCTGTCTCCCAGGTGAGCTTTGGATCAACTCTTCTGGATACCACATCTCAAGGGCTACCATCCTTAATTCAGCTATGTATCTTATCCATATGTATCTTATATGTATCTTATAATGCTTTATACATAAAAGATACACAATAAATGTTTCTCAAATTGGTTTACAGACTATGATTTTCTTAGTCTTCAGTGGCATCAGATCACTCTATCCTCTCCTGGGATGGCAGCTGGTTCTGTACCCACCAAACTGTCCCACAGATCTGAAGAACTTCTCTATATCACTGCTGGGGCAAAGAGAATGTCTCACCCTACCTCTAGGTATCCCTAAGTACAACCTCCCATCTCTATAGATATCAGGCCTCACTCTATTGTTTTGGTACCTGGCCTCCTGAGGCATCTCCTAAGCGCCCAATACCACTGCCCCCTGATGCCTGGGCACAACCCGATGGGGCCATTGTCCCCAGTGGAGGCCAAGGAGAATTAGGAAGCAACTGGGAGTGGGGATGAGGGTGAGTGTTCAGGGGGATCACCACTGCAAGAAAGGAAATGCCCCTCAGTCACCTTTGTTGATCTTGCCCACAACAGAGGCCTCCAGCCATCGTGTGTTGTCTTGACGAGAGTAGAGGCCAAAGAGGACACCACCCTGCTTGGGGGGCAGGCGGAAGGTGGACAAGACGTAGATGTCCCCAGCAGTGAGCAGGGCTGTCCGGATCTTCTCTGCCACAGCTACCATCTGCCGGGACTCGCCCACAGTCAGCAGGTCAATTACTAGCCAGGCAAGGATTATCAAGGTCAGAGAAAGGGGTCAAATGGTAAGGCCTGCCCTCTCCCCTGAGCCCTCAGGGGTGGGGCATCTCTCATCACCCCCCACCCTCACAACCATGCAGCATTAGTCACCTTCTCAAAACTCAGCCCTTGTTGCTATCAGAGCACAGAGGCATATATGCCTCCCTTTACCTCATTATTGCCCACTACCATCTTCTGGGAACCTGCAGGCCAGAGGCTCACTTGGAAATACAGAAACAGCACCCTGCACACATAAGATGCCCCCACCAGGTGGCGCAAGGTAGACACTGCTGATTCCAGGCAGGAGTGGCACCTGGTGCCCACTGCACAGAAATGGGAAGCAGCTTCTCTTTCCACTGCTGGTTTGGCTTATTCTACCCCCTAGTGCTCCTCCCATCCTGGGGGCTCAGCACACTCACTCTGGATAAGAACAGCTGCCCACTGAGAGCTCCAACCCTCCCACCGTCTGGGCTCTATCCCACGGGAATGCAGGACCTGGCTCCTTTGCCTCCTGTGACCTGGCCAATCTGCGGTTTCCCCTCCAGTCAGTAAAGAATCTATGCCTGTGTCATCTGCTCCAGCTACCTCTCCCACACCCATGGGCCCATCCTTCCACCAGACCTCCGGGAGAGCCCAGACCTCTTGGTCTCCACCCCTGTCCTGTCCTTCGGCGGCCAGGAGACCTGGGGGACGAAGCACAGGGACCCACACAGTACACCCTTCTTCACGCTGCTATCCCAGACCCTGGGGTGCCTGCAGATGCTCAGACACCAACCCAGCCAGGCAGCTCTAGCATCCAGTTCCTGAGTCCTCTGCCCTGGCCTTATGCCTGACCCTGGCCAGTTCCCACTCACCCACCATTCTCTGGTGCCCACTCCTCCCCACCAGGCCATAATTTCACCAATTCTAGACAGTGTAACTCTCCTCCGGCTCAGTTTCAGGACCCTTCCCCTCTCCCCTGGCCCACATGTTCCCTGCTATCTGGGCTGGGGGCAAATGAGGAGGAGGCAGAGAAGGGTCTAAGAGGATGGAGACAGGCTTACCCTGCAGGTCCTGACTGGCAGATGCAAAAGAGCAAAGGAGGAGAAGAGCCAGGGCCCCCCGAAGTTCCGGCGTCTCCATGCCGCTCAGCCGGCTCACTACCCCTGGCAAGCAGGCAGCTGGGAGGGGACAAGGCTAGGCGGAGAGAGCAGGAGCGGGGGGGGG